TTCTCCTCAGAAGTCAGCTGCTGCTGAAGGAGTGGGAGACGGATGAGGAGTTAGGGCTGCCCTTCAACAGCCTAAATGAGGGCGAGGGGAGATTAGGCTGCAGCATCTCTCCCTTTTTGGGAGGCAAGCGCACGTGGTCTGTACAGCCAGCTTCCGTTCCTTCTGCTGGAGTGACAGATGGGCACTTCGGAGCCCTCCTCACTCACTGTCTGTGACACTCAGGGTACGTCTACGCTGCAAAAACAAACCCCCTGCAGCAGCGAGTCTGACCGGGAGTCAACTGACTCAGGCTCGCGCTATAGTGCTAAAAATAGCAGTGTAGATGTTCCTGGTCGGGCGTGAGCCCAGCGTCTGAGGACACCCTTCCCCCCTTACTGGGTTTCAGAGCTGGAGCAATGTCTACACTACTATTTTTACCCCTGTAGCAACAGCCCTGCAAGCCCGGCTCCTTTGACCCTGGCTCTGAGACTAGCTGCCACAGGGGGGTGGGGTTTTTTTTGTTTTTGCAGGTAGACATACCCTGAGGTTCCCAAGCGCCTTTGGGCATGTCTACACTAGGAGCTGGGCGGTGGGGGGGGGAGTGATTCCCAGTTCAAGGAGACATACTTGCACTAGCTTTGATCAAGCTGAAGTGCTAAAAATAGAATGTAGCCCTGGCAGGATGATCAGTGGGAGGGGCTAGCTGCCCCATAGATGTACCCATCCTAGGCCCGAGGCACACATTTGGGGCAGCTAGCCTCTTCTCTTGCCACCACAGCTACGCTCTGTGTTTAGCACACTAGCTTGATCAGAGCTAGCATGAGTATGTCTCCGGGAGCTGGGAATCAACCCGCCCCGCCCAGCTCAAAAGGCAGACATACCCCTTGACGCTTGAAAATGGGACTTCTAGTTATTTTGGGCAATGTTACCCCCATCATCTCACTGCAGCCGTACCACTGCACAAAGGGAAGGAGCGAGGGCTCTCGAGTTGCCCCTTCGTGCTGTAATGCCCTAGCGGTTAGCATCTGACATCTTATCCCCTTCTCAGTCCCTCCTTAGAACCTACCTCTGCTGGGATCACTCCTGTCTAGTACTGGTTGGAGGGCTTCTGCTTTTCTGTACAGCTGTACTCACTCTATTGCTGCATCAGTCTCCCAATCCGCACCCCCATTTGTCTGTTGCTTCCTGTCGGATACTCAAACTGTAAACTCTCTGGGCAGAGTTGTCGGTGGCTCTGTCTGCTGCACATGTGGACATCACCACGTTAGCTTGCTCTGGCTAGCTCCAGCATCAGTAGCAGTGAAGCTACAGCACCGTGGACTTTGGCACAGGCTAGCTGTCGAAGAACCGGTCCTAGGGTCTCGGTGGAGTTTTGGACAGGCTGGGCTTCGCTGCAGTTGATACCCATGCTAACTCGGGTACGTCTACACAAGCTGTAAGTGCACTTCCGGTTGCAGTGCAAACGTACCCTTTCTTACGTCTGTCCAGTACCTTCACCGGTGGGGTATAGAGCCTTGACTAGGGTTTCTAGGCTCTATCATAATACAATTAATTAAAACTAACGAGCCAGAAGTGCTGAGGTGCCAAGACAGGCTGTTGCCATAGTACTTTGGGCATGACCAAGAATCCTGCAAGCCTTGCATGAACTGCCCTGCTTAGCAGACTCAAGTGGTTTGGAAAATTAAGATAAACTTCAGAGAAGCATCTGAATTTCCAGGGGGGCTCATCTGAATCCAGTCCACATCCTGAATCTGGTGAGGCTAGAGTGTCACTAGGGCATGCCATGTGGCATGCTACTGTTGATTCACTCAGCAATGTTACCACTCAGCCAAACACACCCTGTTCCAGCAGCAGCAACCCTACCACTGCTCCCTTCTCACAGCTACTCCTATGACAGCAGTAGCTGCAGAGTAGAAACCTCTTTCCCTTGTCCACGGCCAAGGAGAGCTTTTGAAAGCAGAGGATAAGTGGAAGTCCTGAACACTCTCTCCCAACCAGTGCTTTTTCAGGCAGGTGCTGAGCAGCTGATGACCAGCATTCAGATCAAAAGGAGACAAAGGGAGGAAAGTCAGTGTGGGGGGAGTTGCATGGTTCCTCTCAGCTCCTCTCTGTCAGAGCGAATCAGGCACTGCCCTGCTGACACTAAAGAGCTGAGACTGACCTCAATCAGGTTGAGTCTCAGCCCTAGGGGAGTGCAAGGGGAGAAGGAGGAGAAAACTCAGTGCCTCTAAGCACTTTGCTGCTGGGAGAATTCCAGGCTCTCATCTAGTATGATCATCTAGGTACAGAGAGGGGCTGGGAGCCAGGATTGCTAGGTTCTGTTCCTGGCTCTGCCACAGTCTGACTGTGTGGCCTTGGTCAAGTCCCTTGACTTTTCTGTGCTTTAGGTTCCCTGCTGGTAAAATGGGGATTGCAAAAGTTTTCTACACAATGAGTTGTGAAACTTAAACAAGAGGTGCACAAGTGGGCTGGAGAAAGGCAGATTTTTTTTTTCAGTTTCCCATTTTGAGTGAATCTCTCAGGGTGGAAGGAAGGGGAGTGGGCCAAATTCAGAAGGATGAGAAGAGGCAGCTCATGCCATCTCTAGAAAGCAGGAGTGATGGGGGAGGAGACTGGCCGAGATCCTAAATTGTCATGCCCCTTTTAGCAGCAAGTGGACATTTGCTTGTGCCAGCCCAGGTTCTGTGCTCATGGCCCCTGCCTATCCCAGCAGCGGTAGCTAGCTTTGGCAAAGAGGCATGTGCTCCTTCCTCTGTGCACACGGTGACCAATCCCACTGATGCAAGGAAGGGTTCTCCCTGCTCTTTCCTTGCTCAGATACAGGTGGTTTGGGGACCTCTCACTTCCTAACAGCTTTGGTTGGCTGGTTTTGGAGGGAGGATGGAGATCATGGTGTCCTCTCTGTAGCTCCTTTCTGCTTTAGAACTTCCCCATCTAGTTGCCCCAGGATGGAGTCCTGAGTTCATCCTTCCCCATCCCTCTGGAGTCTCTCTCCCTTCCTCCCACTCCTCCTCCTACAGTTTACCCCTCAGCCAGGGGGGCAGGGCGAAACACCAATGCCTCTGCCTGAATACTGCAGTGATGAGGCAGCTTCAGGGTAGGTGGACAGATACCACCTTGCAAAGTGTCACCTCCTTCCCAGACTCTGCTTCCTCTGCCTCACTGAGTTCATTTCACAGGTCCCGTTGATCACAGGTCCTGTTCAGACTGGAGTTTCTCAAGTACATGCTTTAGGGCAGGGCTGATCTTGGAGCGTGGGTGCTTTTGTGGACTTTCAAGTAACCTCAGCAACTCAAAGTCTGATGTTCTACATGCACGGCTAGTAGCTCTGCAGGACCAGGTTCTTGGATAGCTGCAGGTGGCCATCCAAATACATGGGATATTGCTGTGATCTGGCTCCTCTGGCTTGTCGCCTGGATTTTGCCCATGAACCACAAGGTAGAGTAACTGCACTGGGAATGGGAAGGATTCTTGCATCATCTCTTGCCACCTGCATTTTATAAAGAAACAGAAAATCAAGCGTGGAAGCCTCCACGTTTTGTTGCTGCTTCCCAGAAAGTGCCCTGGAAATGAAGGGCTCTCCTGTCACCTGCCTCTTCCCTTGATCCCACTCCCATGTGAATACTCTTTCCAGCCAGCTCTTTTCCCTGAGGCCATGGGAATTTTTTGCACTGAGCTGATGACTGCAACACTTTTAATGGTATTGATAACGGGAAGGGAAATTTTAGGGACTATAAACTGCTTTCTCCAAATAGACATCTTCCATGTAAGGTCCCTTGCTTTCTTTCATGTCTCACCCAAACAGATTTTGGCCAGAGCTCTTTGATTGGAGGCAGGCCTTCAGCTACAGGTCCATATAGATGAAAGAAGACCTTTGTCGTTCCATGGGATTTTGTATTTATGACCTCCACCCAGAGTACCAGGGCCGGCTCCAGGCACCAGGCACCCAAGCTGGTGCTTGGGGCGGCACCTGGAGGGGGGCGGCGGCGCAGCGCTCCGGCCCCCGGGGAGAGCGGAGCCACAGCAGGGCTCGCCGCCCTCCCCCCCGCGCCCTGGCCCCCCTCCCCCCGGCCGCCGGGGGGAGAGCGGAGCCCCTGCCGGGGCTCGCTGCCCTCCTCCCGGAGCTCCGCCCCCCCCGCGGGGGGGTGGGGGGGGGCGGCCGGAGGCTTTTTCGCCTGGGGTGGCAAAAAAGCCAGAGCCGGCCCTGCAGAGTACACATGCAGTTTACTATCTAGTGGATGTTTTGGACAAGACCTTGCACCCCAAAGTCCTGTCTACTCTGAACAGGCTTTAAAGATCCCAGGATTAATTTCACAAGTGTAGGGAGTTTGTGCAAATCTCCTATGTCAATATTTGTTCACCCAGCTACCATGCCCCTCCAGCCCAGAAGCAGGTGGCTGCGTTTCAGTGGTGGGTGAAGTAATCCTTGGAAAGGCTGCTTTGGGATCCTTCTGGCTCAAAGGCAGCAGTGTACATAGACCTCTGCAGTGGTGAGAGGCAGAGAGGAGGCACCGTTATAAGCATGGAAAGCTTTGTTGTATAAATGCAAGTTGTACTTGTCTGCATGAAACTTTAACCTTCATCATTAATTACAATTATACAGGATTTATAGGCAAAAAACACTTCTTACTTACCCCTCACCTACAGTCATACACCCGGTAGGAAAAGTGCCTTCAGCCAAGATTTAGATTGATGGTTGGGTGCATGAACTGTGGAATCTTTGTCCCAGGGCTGAGGTTGATTATCTCCTCCTGCACTCCGTGAACGCAGGCACCGAGCACATTATAAACAGTTAAACCACGTAACAAATTAATGCACAGCGGCAAAATCGAGTGGCAAAACATGGAGCCTGACCGGTTTTCCAATAAGTTAGGAACCCTGCTTAATGCTGGCTGGGCTTAGAGATGTCCTTGCTTCATTTCAAGGACTGTTATAACTAAAACGTCTCTCTTGAATTGTATCTACAGGGCACTCTCTGGATTTAATCCTTTGCTTTGTGTGTATTTTTTCCCCCTCTCCAGAACCATGTGAAGAACCTCGCCAGGGCAAGGGACACATACAGGGAGCTTGGAAGTTCACCCTCCCCTTTCTCTTCTCCCCTGCCCCAGGATGGATCAGAGGAAGAACTGGCCTCGGATGCTGGACTCCGATGGCTGGTCAGCAGCTGTGGTTTTTCTCTTTTTGGTCTCACTTTCCCGGAACGCAGCCAGTACTGCCCTGTTCAACACCTTCCACTCAGAGAACCGCGACTGGACTTTCAACCACCTGACCGTCCATCAGGGCACCGGGGCAGTCTACATTGGAGCCATCAACCGGGTTTACAAGCTCTCGGGTAACTTGACCATCCTGGTGGCTCACAAGACAGGCCCGGAGGAGGACAACAAGTCCTGCTACCCGCCCCTCATTGTCCAGCCTTGCAGTGAGATCCTCACCCTCACCAACAACGTTAACAAGCTGTTGATCATTGACTACTCAGAGAACCGGCTGCTGGCCTGCGGGAGCCTCTACCAGGGCGTCTGCAAGCTGCTGCGGCTGGACGACCTCTTTATCCTGGTGGAGCCGTCCCACAAGAAGGAGCATTACCTCTCTAGCGTCAACAAGACAGGCACCATGTATGGGGTGATCGTGCGCTCCGACGGTGAGGACGGCAAGCTCTTCATCGGCACTGCGGTGGACGGCAAGCAGGATTACTTCCCCACCCTCTCTAGCCGCAAGCTGCCGCGGGACCCGGAGTCATCAGCCATGTTGGATTACGAGCTCCACAGCGACTTTGTCTCATCGCTCATCAAGATCCCCTCAGACACGCTGGCCCTGGTCTCACACTTCGACATCTTCTATATCTACGGGTTCGCCAGCAGCAATTTCGTCTACTTCCTGACGGTGCAACCGGAGACCCCCGAGGGAGTCTCCATCAACTCGGCCAACGACCTTTTCTACACGTCCCGCATCGTCCGCCTCTGTAAGAATGACCCCAAGTTTCACTCCTACGTCTCGCTGCCCTTTGGTTGCATCAAGGGGGATGTGGAGTACCGCCTCCTGCAAGCGGCTTATCTCTCCAAGCCAGGGGACGTGCTGGCCAATGCCCTCAATATCACAGCCCAGGATGACATTCTTTTTGCCATCTTCTCCAAGGGGCAGAAGCAGTATCACCAGCCTCCTGATGACTCGGCTCTTTGCGTTTTCCCCATCCGCACCATCAACAGCCAGATCAAGGAGCGCCTGCAATCCTGTTACCAGGGGGAAGGCAACTTGGAGCTCAACTGGCTGCTGGGGAAGGATGTCCAGTGCACCAAAGCAGTAAGGATGGTTGTAGTACATTGCCACTATTGCTCTGGAGAAATCCGATCTCACTCCTAACACCATTTTGGTAGGGAAGAATGGTCTTGGGGTGGAGACATTGGACTGGAATTTGGGAAACCTGGATTCAATTCCTGGCCCTGCCACAGACACCCTGAGTAAGCTTAGGGAAGTTACTTGATCTTTCTGTTCCTCGGTTTCCCCAAATACCAAACAGGGATAATAATCCTCCTTACTTCAGATTGTGAGAATTAAATCCTTAATGTTGTGAGATGATTAGGGTGCGAAGGGCCACAGAAGTAGCTAGGTAGACAGATTAAAAAGTCGCAGCTTGTTAGAAGCATTCTGCTATTTCCAGCTGCCCATTCTGATTCCAAAATCATACTAACCCAAAGCCTCTCTCTCCCAGCCTGCAGCAGGAGAGTATAGTGCAAACAAAACTAACCAGGTGAATGCAAATGGAAGTTGCACACTCTGTGTTGTTACTTCGCTAGTTCAGATCTTGATTTACATACCATACGGATTCCTTTTGAGCCATCTCAATCCCTGGAAACTCCTTTCACCATAACATATTCAGTTTGGCTTCCAATTCTTTGGTACCAAGAAAAAATGTGAGCTAAATGAGGACAGAGAGGGATTTTTGGGGCGACCGGTGAGTGGATAGTGCAGAGGATGGCCACGAGACAGTGAGCTTTTCAGATCTAGCCTGCTGAAATTAATGCAGCCAATAGTGACTCAAAGGCATTTGGTAGCTATTCAGTGGCTCCTCTGGGAGATGAGTTGGTGAATTGCAATCCCAGTCCTAGTTGGTAGATGTCCACATCACAAATGGCACTAATTAGCATTAATTCCATATTGGGCAGGCTCAGCAAAGTGATCAATTAGCAATACTTAGCTATAATATGGAGTCTTTCATTTCATTGGTCTCAGAGTGTTTTATAAGCATCCTTATCCCCATTTTACAGAGGGGAAACTGAGGCAGAGTGAGGGGACACCGCAAGTCAGTGGCAGAGCTGGGAATAAAGGCTAGGGCTCTTGACTCCCAGTCCAGTTCTCTATCTGCTAGACCTGTTGTTTTCAACCTGGGGACCTGAAAACTATGTCTAAGGGGTCCACGAAACGTTGTCATTACCGTAGAACAGTGGTTTTCAACCTCTGGTCCGCGGGCCCCTGGACGTCCACAGATTATGTCTAAGATTTTCCAAAGGAGAAATCTCCGTTCAAAATTTTGTAGGGGTCCTCAAATGAAAAAAAGGTTGAAAACACTGTGCTAGACCATGCTGTATCGAAAGGAGAACATAGGTACTAAACAGCCCTTTAGATCAGATTGGGGCATTCAAAGGATGGGACGGGGTTGGCCAGGAGTATGGAAACTCTGCATTGCCAGGGTCCATTCCATGCAGGGGCGGGGAGGTGATAAATACACTGTCCCTCTTAAGAACAGCCAGTCTGGCCGGCACCTTGCACCAGCATCATATTCACTCGGGGAATGTAACGAGGAGATCCGGAGTGTTAAATCTGTCATGAAGTCAGGCTGTTTGCACAGGAGGGAGGTGGCTGCTTCCCTAAAGAAATGAGTAGCGGAGAGGAAATGGCAGCTTCCTTTCTATGCTCAGAGGGCAGAGGTAGAGAGCAGACACCTGCACTTCCTGTGGCTGGTGTTTCTGAGCCCAGCCGCCCACTGCAGGCTCATTGCCAGTGGAAGGCAATCGCTGGCCCCAGCCATGTGACTCTCTGCTGACCTGTCTGCGTGACACTGGGTCATTTCGGGAAGTGGGATGGGGGGAGGAGAGAACTGCAGCTTCCTTTTATGAATGGATTTGACAATCCAGTGCAGTGTGAGCAAGGCTGCTGGAGCACATCCTGGGGCCAGCGAGGTGGATTAGGGACAGGTTCCCTGGATGGCCGTGTGAGTGAGGCTGGGTCAGTTTTCTGTCCTCGTCCTTGGCTCCCTAGGTCAGCCATGCTGTGGAAACTGCCCGCTCAGTTCTTCTTGGGGTTTGAGATGGGGAGGAAGAAATGGCTTGTGCTGCTGTGCTGTGACCTCTCTGGTTAATGCAGAAGAAGCTTTGAATGATCTTCAGTGCAAGCCTCTAGTCAATCTTCCTCCCCTGATGTAGGCCCTTGAAAAGGCAGCTGGTCTGATTTTTTTTCAGAGATGCTAAGCACCTGGCAGCTCCCGTTTCTTAACTGGGAGCTGCAGGCGATCAGGACCTCCAGAAATCCGACCAAGACTATTTAGAGGGAGGTAAAGTCAGTGGAGGAGAGAGACACAGTGTCAGCTTAGGACATGAATGCACCAGGACAGAATATAGGGGAGAGGGTTTGGATCTGAGAGGGGAGAGAATCAAGAGAGCTAATGAAACCATTTTCCTCTATGGTTTTCTGTTAGTGACATTGTGGGGATTCTCATCAGTCCTCTCCATGAAGGCTTTCCTGGCAGCTAGCGTGTGGTGCACCCACCGTGGCCTGTACCCATGCCAGCCACACAGCTGCTTGGCCTAGATTACAAAAATAAGGAGAGATGTTCATTAGGTCATGCTGGGGAGAGTGGCGGTGACCCTAGCTCCTAGGGAGATCAACCAGCTGTACATGAGCAGGGGGTTGTTGTGAACACCCAGCTACTGTGTGGGGAAGTTCGGTGCGCTCACCCTATGGTTACAACTGTGCGTTCAGTTCTGCAGTGCTTGGATGAGCACTTCACCTTCACCTCGAGCTCACCCTTGCCCAATGCCTTGTCTTTTCCAGCCAGTCCCGATAGACGACAACTTTTGCGGGCTGGACATTAACCAGCCACTGGGAGGCTCCACACCAGTGGAGGGGGTGACCCTCTTCACCGCCAGCCGTGACCGGATGACCTCGGTCGCTTCGTACGTCTACAACGGCTACAGTGTGGTGTTCGTGGGGACCAAGAGTGGCAAGCTGAAGAAGGTAAGGCTGCTCCTGTGACTCCAGAGAGCCTGGATCAGTGCCTCCTCCCTTTCCCCAGGAACACTGATCTGCCAGGATGTTGCCACCTTTGTACTGCTCCTGAGATCTCTTTCTCAGCTGCCAGTTATGAGGTAGTATGAGATTAAGCCCGAGGCTTTGAGTTAGGGAGGTATTTGAAGCAAGTGGTATGTGAGGCAAACTCTCCTGCATCTGTACTGGTGATGGGGCATCATTTAATGTAGTCTCGCTCAGAACCCAGAGACACCAGGCATTGGAATGATATAGAGCTTAGTGGCAAGTCAAAGATTAAGGCATGTGGAAAATGTCCTTTCGGGTCCTTGAAGAGACGTAAATTAGTCAGACAAGGCAACATCTTCTCATTGCACCAAGGTTTGGGACTCAAAAATCTCTCTAAGCCAATACAAAGTGGAATGCAGCTGAGATCTTGTCAGGCACCTTGCTCTGCTTCCTATTATCCATTCCATTCAACCATGGGTAATATTGGCCTCAGCAGTGCACTGGCTGTTGCATACTCTATACCTGCCACCGGTATATTGTTGGTGCCAGGATATTAAAGAGACAAGGCAAGTGAGGTAATTGGACCAATTTATGTTGGAACGGGCCACCCAACTCCCCCTCCGCCCCCCCGGGGAGCCGTGCGGCAGCTCCCCACCCCAGCTCACCTCTGCTCTGCCTCCACCCCGAGCACGCCGCCCCCACTCTAATTCTCCTCCCCTCCCAGGCTTGCAGCGCCAAACAGCTGATTGGCGCCGCAAGCCTGGGAGGCGGGAGAAGTGGAGCGGCGACTGCGCGCTCGGGGAGGGGGCGTAGCAGAGATGAGCTGGGGTGGGGAGCTGCCGTGGGGGTGGGGGGGTGCCTCAGGGCGGGGGGGAGGAGCTGCCGCAGGGCTCCCCACCCCAGCTCACCTCTGCTACGCCCCCTCCCCGAGCACACCGCCCCCGCCGGCAATGACAATAATTGCATGGAGAGGCCGCTGCACTGGAGAGGGAGTCTGAGCCGCACGTGTCAGTGCGCCGCCGGCAGCCCAGCCCAGGAACGCTGTAAAAAAAAATTTGGAGGCACCGCTTTTTGGCGCCCCCAAATCTTGGCACCCTAGGCAACCGCCTAGCTTGCCTTAATGGTAGCACCGGCCCTGCACTTACCACCCCACACTGGAACCCATATAGGGTATCATTAAGCAGTTACAATTCATACTCTTTGTTGACCACATCCTGAAAGAAATCTTTCCCAAACCCTTTCTTCTGGCTTTCAAACCACTCCTCAACCTTGCCAACTTCATCATCAGAAGCAAACTCCCCACAGACCAGAACCCACCAATTCAAAGCTGCACCAGTCCCTGCTCTAACAGATGCAAAACCTGCAGATAAATCTCCATTCCTACGACGATCAGTACCCCCCACAACACATTTTTCAAGTTCCATGGGTTCTACACATGCCTATCACAACATGTGGTGAACCTCATCCAGCGCACTAAATACCCCAATAATAACTAAATGGGTGGAATGAGACAATCACTACGTTCTTGAATGAACTCACACAGGAAATGTCTAAAAGACAAAAACACCATCTCGCTCAAGGGCGAACACTTTTCACAAACCAATTGCTCCATATGTGACCTCTCTGTCCTCATCCTCAAAGGAAATCTGCACAACACCTTCAAAAGACAAGCCTGAGGGAGCTTAAATTCATAACGTTGTTAGATACTAAAAATCAAGGACTCAATAAAGATAGTGGATTATTGCTCATTACAACAATCTATAACCCACTAACCCTCTTTTGTCCTACCACTGCAGAGGTGTTAACTGCCTCCTTCACCTTGAATGGTCTCTTAGAACATGTGAACTCCTTATGCTGAACTATCTGTTCCACCTTATATTTAGCTCTGACACTCTGAGGATCTTTCTCAGACCTGAAGAACAGTTCTGTGGAACTCAAAAGCTCGTCTCTTTCACCAACAGAAGATGGTCCAATAAAAGATATTGCCTCACCTGCTTTGTCCAATAGGTATTGCTAAGTCAGCCCACTGTATGACTGTGGCCACTGAGGAGTGCGTGACTCACTCTAAGAATACAAAGGGCTCCCAGGATTAGTCCAGCAGTTACTTGTGCTGTCTGTTGGAATCCAGTCTGAGAGACGATGGTTTTTTCATTGTATTCCTATGTGACACATGGCATGTCTGTGGGAAGGTGCTGCCCGAATCAGTTTGGCTCTGAAGAAGTGGTTTGGCCTGAACCAAGAGAGGAACTGACTCAGGGTTGCTGTGAGGTAGAACTCAGCAAGTAGTAAATCGGCACAAATAATTTATTCAGTGGACCCAGACGCTTCTGTTCATGAATGACGTTTGGGCAGTGGGGGATAATCTTGAATTGATTCACAATGATTCTTAGTCAGTAGATTGTTCATAAGCCGCTCCTTCCAACTATCCAATGCCCAAAATTCACACTGTCTGTCAGTATGGCACATGTAGCTCTCATGAAGGTGCTCCTGATTCCTGGCAGGATGAATGTCACTAACTTTTAGATTCCAATTCTCAACGTGAAAGACTGTGTGAATATGACCTGTGTGTTTTGTGAGTTGAAAAATTTGCTGTTTCCATGCAAGTTTCTGACAGCCAAGTAGCTTGCTAGAAGATTGCAACAGGGGCACAAGCACAGAAGCGAATTCAATTTTTGTTAGCGCAGATAATCACAGAGCATGTTTTTAGGTGTTCACCATGCTCTGCTGGAAGACCTCGGGCCTAGAGCATTTCCTACTAATGCCCTTTGAGCTGCACCCATCACAATCAAAGCTCCAGGGTTCCCGTTGACCCTCTCTGATAAGGGCAGGTGAGAAAGATTTCCCCTGAAATGCATTGTGAAATGTCATAGGGGTTTATAGATAGTATTGCTGTACTCCTAACACATAGTCCTAGTGGGCAAAACAAAGCGTGATGGTCAAGAGAGAGATCTGGATCTTTGGCTGGTGTTACTGCCATCAATGGAGCCATGCTGATTTACAGTTTGACCTAGAGGGATCTGAAACTTTTAACACAACAATCACTGTTGAGCAAATATACAGTAAGGTCAGCACTATTAATGAGAGTCTCCCACTGGCTTCATCCTTATTGATGGCCACCAGCCTGAGCTCTGGATTTGGTGTTACTCCCTCGTGGTGCTTGTATCCGCCTGAGTCAGCACAAATCTCTCTTGGTGGGCTTGTACTCTGTCAGCAGATATTTACAGAAGCTGCCCCTAGTGGGAAGTCTGTGTGGGTTAAGAACTCCCGGGGAGAGCTGAGTGAATTTTTTTGGCTGAAATTTTTCACGGAAAAATGCAGATTTGGTTTGACCAAAACCTTTTGCAAATTCAGGTCAGATTTGCCAAATTGTTTTGGTTTTAAAAAAAAACAATCTGAAATCAAAAAGTTTCAAGTTTTTGATTTGAGGGCCCTCCTCATTTCAAAATTTACGTTGGCTTATTAACTTTTTTTTAAGTTTCAAGAAGCCCAAAGATTAAATTAAACACTCTGTTCAACACCAGACTATGCTTCGTAATTACAGTATTATTTTCTTTTTTGGTATGGCTGAAAGACCAAAAAAAATCAGTTACTCTCACAGCTCTGCTCCTCCTGCGTGCCCTGCTTTGGTGGTGATAAAATTGCGGATTTATGGGTCTTGAAGAGATATGAATGGGTTAACTTGGCTGCCTTTAGGAAACTAAGCCTCAGGGCAAAGTCATATTGCTTCTCTGTGCCTTAGCCTTGCCTCTCACTTCCCACCCTTCCCATAGACCTCTGGGTGACTGATCTGCTGTGCAAGATAAAATTCTTTCCTGTTTGCATCACAAAAGCAGGGCTAGTTGCCCAAAGCAAAGAAATACCCAGTCTTCCTTCTCCCTCAAAGGAGCAGGAGGCCTTGCTGTGGTAAACTTATGATTCTGTGATTGAACTGGCCTTTTTCCTCTTCTCAAACACTCCTTTTGAAGATCAGGTTGTAAAGCCCAGACTAAGCCTGATACAATGCTGATAAAATGCGTTAATCCAGTTCTTCCTGTTGAATGATGCCTGGATTGGTACCGGTGTTTTTGTTCAGGGCAGGTCTACACTTAAAATGCTGCGGTGGCGCAGCTGTAGCACTTCAGTGAAGACTCTACTGCGCGGATAGGAGAGCTTTGCCCCTCGGCGTACTTAATCCACCTGTGTGAGAGGCGATAGCTATGTCTACGGGAGAAGCCCTCCTGTGGACCGAGCGCTGTCTACCTTGGGGTTAGGTCAGTATCACTGGATTTCAGTGTGGATTTTTCACATCCCTGAGTGGCATAGTGATAGCGATGTCAATTGATAGTACAGACCTGGCCTCAGATGTCAGTGCTTTAAAAACACAATGGAAAGAGACCTATGGATGTATAACAACAGGGATCTTTCTCCTCCTAACTCCTAGTCTGGTATTTTGTTGGTCCGCAATCAGATGCCACTTCAGTCCTCCGCAGCACAATTGTTTTATCCCCTGATAATGCAGGTCTAGTGAATATCACCACTCACTCAAATATATTAAAAGGTAAAAATACAATGTTCTGCTGTTACGTTGTTGTTTGTTTTTATTTATATTTCACTAGCCCTAGGAGCCCCAGTCATGGATCAAGGCCCCATGGGGCTAGGTGATGTACAGGTATGTAAGACAGTCCTTGCCCTAGCGAGCTGAGTCAATATGACATACAGGACATGGCAGGAGGAAAGAACAGGTGGGGAAGGAAGAAAACTTGAGGTAACAAAATGAGCAGAACTGAACAGAAACACAGAAGTCACCTCTCATCATTTGCCTAAGCAATGCCAGGCGGGAGTGACTGGTAGGCATCACAGCAGGGTTTATCCACTTATTGGTAGCCTTACATGACCTCAACACAGCCTTTAAATCCGTGGGCCTGATTTTGTGCGGTGTAGTTATTTTTGGGTGCAAAATCAGAGATTGTTTATCCGAATCCAACCTCAAGTCAGATGCTCAGCATGACTGACAGATTTTT